ATATTTGTGGTTAAAGTAAGGAATATTAGTTGCATTCCTTTGAGCTTTAACTAACAGCTCACAAAGGGCCCTAATCATCACTGCTGACAGCTGAGCAAAGGATCAGTTCAGTTTGCTCAAAAGAAAAATGACAGGATGTTCAAAAAAGGATGAGGAGAGCTCAGAAAACAAGACATCAGATTTGGTCTGATGTCAGTCTAGTCTAGGAGACAATGCACCTCTCCAGTGCTCCAGTGCCACCTTCCGCAATGACCCCAATATGTTAAGAGGCAGGTGGGTCAGGCATCAACAGCAGGTTAGTAATAAAAGCTGCACAAAATATGGGTGAGGCACTAGGAAAGAAATGAAGTCCCCTGGTGCAATAATTCCATTACATTCCAGAATATTAGGACAAGGCAGATGAAAAATATACATGAATTATGCAAACAGTTCACACTTCACAAAAGATATGCTCAGATACTACGAGACACAGTAATTCGTGTTTCACCTCATACTCATACTGCTGTTCCTGTTTCACCTCATAGCAAAAAAATGGAAATACTCAGTGACACTCTAAGTTCATAGAAAAAGGAGGAAAAAACATTTTGCAAACACCTTGAAGTCAGATGCTAAGCAGCACTGAAAAATGAGAAAATGTTTCTGCAAAAAATACCTGTGATTAAAACAATTCAAAAGTTCTTTCAGACCCCGGACAAAGGGTAAAAAAAAAAATACCAATTTCAAGATGATTCTTAACCATTAGAGATACTGGGTAGGGTTTAGGACATTTTTCAGACAAGATCTAACAGAACAGATATTTCAAAAACAAATGAAACACTACATACCCAAAACACCCCAGAGAATCCTCAAGCTTATCTTACGGGAAAAAAGCCCAACAGGATTCACCACAGAGCAGGGTTTTCAAGTTCTGATCAGGCAGGAACTAGAAAGCATTTGAGGCAATATGCAGATGCTAAGTTTGAGATGAAATGGGACGGAAGCAACAGGAAACGATATACCATTTAACAGCCTTTTCTCAGTCACCTAGAGACAAGTAATGAAGCCCTCCTTAAAGGGTTTCTGTCCACTATGCCTCAAGCAGAAGAATAAACTGTAATTTCAGTTTCGAGTGAGAGCAGAGTCGACAAAGTAAAATAAGATGACCCTTGGGTTTTCACAGAGAGCTCTCAGAGAACACCAATATTAGCATTAGGAACTCCAGAGCTCACAGCAGATCCATTCTCTTATCATCACTGCTAAGTACAAGCTTTGAAAGCTTGTTTGAAGGGCAATTATGTGGCAATGTATAATTTCTATTTTAAACAAACTGGAGCCAAATTTCACAGATACTGGAAGGCAGCAAAAGCTAACAGCAGCCTTCCTAGCACCATCCCACCCCAGCTGCTCGCTTCCACCTCCACACTCCAGGATATGCTCCGGCACAGCTGCACTGCCGCCTTCACTCTGACCTCAAACAAAACAAGTATTTCAGCACAGTCAGATCTTCATCTGCAGAAAAAAAAGGGATCATTGGGGTGTTGAAACTTCAGGTGAGGTGCATACATCTACACTCAGGTATCTCTGTAACAGTACCTGGACTCCGCCAATGACAGCAAAGACTGAACCTACAGCATCACTAAATCCAACCAGACAGAAAGCTCCAGATTAGTTAGTTACAATCTATTTACTTTGCATAGGAACAAAGAAACTGCCATAGCAGATCAAGCCATTTAAGCAGAACCCCACCACTTGCAATAACTAAGAGTGATAAAAATCAGACATGGGTGAGGGTGACCCTCTTCCTGAAATACTTTCAAGCTCAGAGCTGTAGAGATAGGAGGTAAAATTCCACTCACTGTATGATTCAGCTTAAATCAGAAGCAGAGAACGTGCTGGCTTACTTAAGCAAACAGTGAAAAATACCTAGCACTACGAACTGCAGTTAAACACACATAATTTTATTTCACCTTAGTTGAAAATAGTCAAGTTAAAAAAGCTCTCTCTCTCTCTCTCTTTGTCTCTCTCTCTCTCTCTCTCTCTCTCTCTCTATATATATATATATATATATATTTACTGAAGGTACATTTCGAGAATACGAAACAAGAATGTTGTCATTTCAGAGGAAAGAAAAAACCACAAGTCAGACGTTGGCTGTGTTGTAACTGTACTTGCTCTCGCTGTCCCCAGTCCACTGCCCCAAATCCAGATTGTTAATGTAGTCATGCACTCATTTAGAAGTCACCAAAGGTGCTAGAATTTACAAGCAGATCCCAAACTAACAAGCTTTATCAAGTACTCACAAGTACGTAGTCAGAACTCAGGTTTCACAGTGTGTTTTTACTGTCTCTAGCAGGCGCCAAAGAGGAATTGCAGAAAACAGTACAGATACCTTCACTGGTTTTCCTGCAGCTGAACTGACACGTTTGCTGTATTTGCACACTCATTTTTAAATTGGAACGCTGCGTTTTCATGCACGTCATACATCCCTGTATACAGAGCAGACAAATCAGAGCACTTCCTGCTTGTTTCTTTAAAAGAGGAGTTATGGCAGTACAACTCATTCTGCAGTCAGGAATGCAGTACGTTAGCCACACCAATTTCAGACACAAACAAACATCACTTAAACTTTCAGTGCTTTAAAACTCAAGTTAATGAAAAGAGGTGCATATTCCTGTTGTGGATTTCTGCCCAAATCAGATGTTACAGTACAACAAGAAGAAATCATAATACAGTTACCACTGACCTCAGTGCTATGATCTTTTGATATAAACCAAATCGATATACAGTCAGTACAGAGAAGGAATAAAAAGTCTAAAGTGTTCTATGCCACAGTTGTATTTCCCAGTAGCACAACTCCCTTCCCTTACACTGTTATAAAAAGAGATAAAAGTGTCACAGCTTTTAGCAAAAACGTTATCTGCTCCTGTGACAAGTACAATGCTTAAAAGAGTAAATGAAAAGGGTGATATTTACAACTTCACAGAAGAGTCAAAATCACTTTACAGCTTCATTCTAAAGCTTGTGCATGTCTTCCAGCATAAATAGAAGGTCTGTTTAGAGAGAGACTGTAATACCAAGGAGACTGACAGGGGGACTTTGGAGCAAGTACAGTACCGTTTAATGAGTAGTAGATCTTATGGGAAAGCATAGCCACTCTGTTTAAGAACAAAAAAGAAAAACTCTGCATATTGCATCCTTCAGCCTGCTTTTTAATAAACGTCTGGGCAACAACTCCACACAGTGACTTAATATTTAACATATAACATGCTCACTGCTACTCAAGTACAAAGAACTCCCTCCCGCTAGAAAAAGTTATTATCACAGTGACAGAAGAGATGTTTCTTGAGGTTGGATATCTATTCCTCTGCTAGACCAGATCTGCTAACTAGTAACAGGACATGCAGAATTGCTGAGATTTGCTAGAGTATTTCCAAAGGACAGTTACAATTAAAGCTGCCAGATACTTCATGATAGGCTATTTAGAGTTCATCATAGTGATACAGTGAGGAGATGAGCAGTTGCCACATAACTTTCTCCATTATTTGTGAACATTTTGTGTTCATTTACCAGAAAGAATTTGTGGGGGGCAGAAGGGCTTTAACCCATACACTCACTCAGAACAGTAACTTGTGAGTGCAGGTACTTAACATGTAAGCAATCTGTCCATGTAAAGGGAAAAAATTCCATAGCTGCTCTGTCATTGCTGCCGTGGGACAGGCCAGCATGGACAGTCAGTGCTTCAGCACTTATGTGATGTACACAGAACTTCCTGAGCCTGATACCCAGCCTAAATCACATTTAATATCATCATGAGACACCAGCCTATTCTGTGTTCTGACACTAATTCTTCATTTTCTTTGAAAGCTACGGATCTAGCTACAGTTGCATTAAAAGACACAGCACATTGCACTTTCCTGGTTGACAGAGATGATGGTGCTAAGAGTCAGAGAATTTATAACCCATATGATTTTCTTCCCTTCCTGAATACTTCAGATTTCTGCTAATCCTTCTGTAACTAACAGAGGATTTCTTATCTGCTGGGACCAGACCATCTCAAGTGTCTCTGCACTGCCCTAGAAACAGCCCCAAACCCATTACGATTTCTCAGAACTCACACAAACAGGACATAGCTTTAGAAGCCAACTCTCAACACAGTACTCCCAAGGTAAGCTGAAGTTGAAAACAGAATCAGTGAGATTTAACTGGCATAGGGCACAGCTAAAAAGCATACACGTCACCTCTTAAATAGGGAACAGATCTCTCAGAAGGTTCAATTAGCCAAATAAACAGAGAGGCAGCATTAAAGGAGAAGTGCAGATGCACTTCCCTGCACAGTCAGATACCTGCAGGAGCTCAGTTGCACATCATCACGGCACTGCTGTGCCCTCCTGCCCGTACACTGAAATGCTCCGTGTACCACCCTTCCCAGCGTAAGTCAGAGGCAATTAAACTGCTTGCACTCGGAAAGTCTGCACGTAAATCGGCGAAACATGCATGTGAGCAGTTCTATAACACCTCAATATACTGGATTTACCAATCCAAGCACAGAGACAGCAAGCCAAAGCTACAAGCTCACGGGGGGGTAGATGAAATCACTCAGATGTATTACCTACAGTAACCACTACAGAACAACTTTGATTTCTCTCTGAAACAAGAGATCGAACATTTCCGCTCCAGAGCCATTCTCTCCTCTCTCAATGAGAACGAGAGAAACGCATTCTGCAGTACCGTGAACAGTGCAGACCGGAACCGGCTACACAAGACTTTTTTTTTTTTTTTTTAATTAAAAACAAACAAACAAACAAACAAACAAATAAAAGCTCGGCGCAGCCGGGACAGCACGGGAAGCTGCGGGATGCCCGGCCGCCCTGGAGCAAGGCAGGGACAGCCCCAGCCCAAGAAGCCCGCAGCCGCCCGGCCCGCCTGCTCCCAGCCCCGCGGGCAGAGCGCTTCCTGCGCCCCGCGGCGCTCCCGGCCCCGCGCTGACAGCTGCCCCGGTCCCGCGGCGGCGCCGCGCTCACCTCACGGCAGGGGACGGCTCCATCCTTCTCTCGGCGGCGGGGTCGGCGGCCGCGGGGCTGCCCACCGGCAGCTCCAGGAGCTCGGCGCCGCGGCCGGGGGAGGCGGCGGGGCTGGCGGGGCCGGAGCGGGGTCCGGGCAGGTAGTGCAGCAGCAGCGCCTCGGGGGGCTCCGGCGAAGGGGAGGAGGACGACGATGAGGAGGTGGCGGCCGGTGTGGCTGCGAGGAAGAGGGGCGCCTCGGGCAGCCGGTCCAGCTCCACGCTCCGCACTTTGCGCAGCTGCTTCCGCCGCCAGTCGGAGCGCTGCTCCCGGACGCCGCCGCCCGCCTCCCGCAGCAGCCCGCCGCTCCCGGCGCCGCTTCCCTCGCCCGCGCCGCCCTTCGGGCTCCCGCACGCGGCGGCGGCGGCCCCTTCCGCGCCACCGCCAGAGGATAATCCCGACGACGAGGTGCGATTCCCCGCCGCCGCCGCCATTTTCTCTGGCGGGTCACATCGGGCTCCCGGGACTCGGGCGGGGGCGGAGGGAGGGAAGAAGGAGGGAGCCGGCTCTCCCGCCCGCTGCGCAAACGGCGCTGCCTGCGCAAACGGCGTAGGGAGGGGGACGGGCGGCGGGCGCCCATTGGAGGAACGGGCGGAGCGGGGCGGGGCAAGCTCCTGTAGGTGCGGCGGGGCGGGGCCCGCCGCTGTCCCGCCCCGCCCGCCCGCCCGCCTCCGCGCAGGTGTCGGCCGTTGGAGGGCCGCGCCCGCCCGGTGGGGCCGGGCAGAACGAGAGGCAGAGCACGGCCGCCCGCCCGCGCTTCGGAGAGCCGAGGGGGGCCGCGCCCCAGAGGCGCGGGCGTGAGGGCGTCCCCGCCCCCAGGCGGCCCTCCTCGGGAGCTGGAGCCGCCCCGTGGGGAGAAGCTGAGGGGCGCGGAGCCCCTCGTTCCCTCCGAGCCGCGCCGTGCAGCTGTCCGCGAGCGGCAGGGGAGGAGAAAGCCGCCGCACCGCGGCGTATGCCCGGTGCCCCAGCCTGCCTCGTTTACCTGCTCGTTCTCCGCAGTCCAACGCGCGGAGGGATGTCAGCGTCCTGCCTGCCGCCTCACGCGGCGGGCGCCGCCTCCCCCATCCACTCCATGTCCGCAGCTACTGAGAGGCTGGCGGCGCACCCGCCTCCATGTGCTCGCTCGCCCGCTCATGCGCTGCGCCGCAGCCCGCCCAGTGCACCTCCTGCCGCGGCTCCCAGGGGTGGGACGGGGCAGGCGGGCGGCAGGCATCACATGGGCCGTGCGTGCCTGGGGAGGCCCGAGCAAATCCAGCCTGGTCTCGGATGCCTCCGCCATTGGAAGCTTTTTTCTTTCAGCCTCCGAGCTGTGCGGCGGGGATTCAAGTTTTGCAAGATCGGAATGGCATGCATCGCTCTCACAAACGTGCTATTTTCTGTCATTAAGCACTCCTGCCTGTCAGGGTGCTGATATAATCTGAGAGGAGGAAAGGAAACCTGAGTGTCACTGTGCATACCTGGCCGTTTTCAGTTTGCTGTCATTTTGGATACAGCAGGACATGCAATTTTATTGAATCATAGAATTGTCTGAGTTGGAAGGCACCTTTAAAGGTCATCTCGTTCAACTCCTGCAATGAACAGCATCACCTACAGGTCGATCGGGTTGCTCAGAGCCTCACCTAGCCTGACTTTGGGCATCTCCAGTGATTGGACACCCATTAACTCTGGGCAACCTGTTCCAGTGCCTCATCAATTTTATCATTAATAACTTTTTTCTTATATCCAATATAAATCTCCCCTTTTAGTTTGAAACAATTTTCTCTTGTCCTATTACAACAGGCCCTGTGCCATTCTTTCTTACAGCCTCCCTTTAGATACTGAAGGGCTGCTCAAAGGTCTCTCCAGAGCATTCTCTTCTCCAGGCTGAGCAACCCCAGCTCTCTCAGCCTGTCCTTGAAGGAGAGGTGTTCCATCCCTTGGATTACTTTTGTGTCCCCCCTCTGGATGTGCTCCAACAGGTCTGTGTCCATCCTATAGTGAGAGTTCCATATCTGAACACATTGCTTCAGGTAAGGCTTCACCAGTGCAGAGCAGAGGGAAGGATCACCTTCACCATGCTGGCCATGCTTTCTTTGGTGCAGCCCAGGATACAGTTGGACTGCAAGAGTTCACTGCTAGCTCATGTTTACCTTCCCATCCACCAGTATCCACAACAACCCCTAGTGCTTTTCAGCAGGGCCATGCTATATCCTTACATCCTCCAGCTTGTGTTGATATTGGGGGTTGCCGTGACCCAGGTACAAGACCTTGTGCTTGGATTTGTTGAATCTCATGGTTCGACAAATTGTTCCGGTTCTGCTGAGCCCACTGGGCCAAATTTTAACCAGTTTTTCATAGCTGAGCATCTTAGACTTGCTTCACAGAATTTGCTGTGCATCCTCCAAATATCACACCATGCAGCTTGACAGTGGTATTTTGTATGGTCATTTTGCTTGGATTGTTGCTTTACACTGAAGTACCAGTAGAATGAGAAACGCCCTCTAACAGAAACATGCTCTTCCCTTCCTTAATGTCTATGATTGGATGCTGACCTAACTGAGTCGTTACTTAACTACACGATGGACAAATTGGAAATTACTTCTATTTAGACTTGCAGAAGGACAACCCCAAGAAAAAGTTTCATATAGTACTTCATGTAATTGCAACATAGTATCAACACGATCATGGCCTCAAGGTCACGCTATGTGAGTCGCTTAGATGGTCTACCAAGATGCCACACCATCTGTGTGAAAATTTTCCAGTGAAAGATACCGTGACAAAGCTAACAGCATTCACTGTCAACTTTTAAGCAGGGCACTTCTCACAAGAATGAATGTTCATCTAAATGTCCTAAATAATGTACAACTTAGAGATGTACAGGTAAAGAGAAAATGATTTTGCATTTCACAAATACAATATTTGACACTTTTCTTATTTAAAGTCTCAATTGTAAGTAAAGGAGGAACAGTTTTCTGTGAGATTCCTAAATGAAGCCTTATTATCGAACTGAGGAGAGTGTCAGTGAGTGTGGTAAAGAACAGAAAACAGAATTTGTTTTGCAGAAGCAGGTGTTTAGCTGCATGTAAATTTTGAATTTTGAAGCAGGCGATTGAAATGAACCCAAATTATTACCAGTTGTTGGTATTGTGACCTGCATGTGCTCTACTCTTCAACATAAAAAAAGAACAGTTCCTAATTATACCTATGTATTCCTCTGTGCCATAAAATCACATTGACAAAAAAGTCTTCTGATTTTACGGTGTTCTGAAAAGGAAAAAGCAAAACAGCTTTATGAATTTACTAAACATTCATCACAAGAAGAATAATAGCCTTGAATAGTAATCTCTTTGTTAGAAAGGAACGTGGAAAAGGAAAAGAGTAAATTTCTGATAGCACTAAATCTAGGAGGTAACAGTGCAACGCACATCCTTTTGTTCTGACAGAATCTGAAGGGACAGTTCTCCCAGAGTGCCAAAGCTCCAACATGGCTTAAACGAGGAGGAAACCTGAGGCAAAATGTCAGAGTGGTCATGAGGTGCTGAAGCATGTGCATGTGCAGTGAGGTGAAACAGTTTCTGGAAAGCAGCTAGGAAAAACAGGGCAAAACATGAAATAAGAGAGGCAGCGGAAGCCACCAGTGTGTGGACAAGTGCTGTCACTATCCATCTTCAGGCATAGCTTTGCCATTTGAGGAAGGTCTGCACCAGCAAGATTTTGAATTACTTTTTGGTTAAGATGGGAAGCTTACTATTTACTCATCAATCCATGTCTTGCCTTATAAGGGTTTGTCCCCTTATTATGGTTAAATCTAATTAATGAAATGCTTGTTGCCAATTATACTTACATTTACCAGCTGTTGCAAATGGATGTCTCTTCACTCTGCCTTAACCAGAGGGATGCAGCAGCAAATGAGAAGACACTTGCCATGCCTCATCTGAGAGTGCTAGATAATGGTGTGCCTGTATGCAATGTGGATTTATGCACAAGACAGAGACACTGCATGGCAAAGGCTCTCTTAGAAGCCTTCAAATTCTGAAATCATTGATTGAATATTCAGTGGTCTGTGTTTTCTTGTGATCACCTCTTAAATACCCTTTTATATTTAAGAACACCAGTTGACCTGACTGTAAAAAACATAAAACTTAGTGAGGAACCAAGAGAGTTGTTGAGTTACCTCTTGCACATATTCTTTCTCAGTTCATCAAACTGCTGAGTTTCAGTGTTCCAGTTGAAAATACAGTTCTGGAGGGTAATATGAGACTCGTAGCAGTTTTCAGTGAGCCAGTTTGCCCTCAGCTGTAAGTAGTGGCACTCAGTGTTTGTTATGAAACAGAAGCCTTTGGCCTCGAATTAGCATCGTGCAACATTTGGAACATCAACTGTTGGACACAAAGAAAGTTCTGTTTGGGAATGCACTAAGTTTTTGCAAGCCAAGGAGTTTCCTTGTTGCACAAAACCTGTAACTGTGTCATGAATAACCAACAATTTTCAACATGCTAGAGATAGGAATCTTCCATGCCTCTGAATGTATAAAGTAGGCATAGTCATCCACAAACAAAATTAATCTGAAAGATAACACAGTCCATAGCTTCTGGTCTTGACTAAACACGCAAAAAGTGCTGTAGTGCCTGCATTATTCTTCTGTTTAGAAAAAACATATTGCTACCTCAGTCTTCCATTCATTTTTCCCACTGCAAGAAAGAGAAAGCAAACCTGCTCACAAGCTTCAATCCTTTTCTGTTTACTTCTATGTGTAATGGAGAAGTCAAGCAACTAAATGAGGACATAGAGGCTGATGTCCTTTCCATTGTTTCCATGGACTGCTGAGAATCTGCTGGCATCTCTGTTGCCTTTAGAAATGCTTTACCATCTTGCAGATGCTCAGCTTTTACTTCAGAGTGTAATAAGTGTGCTTTTTAGAATTAATTCTACCTCTAGATCAGGACGCTATATCACTTTTCAAGTGAGAGAAAGCTGAGGAGAAACAGAATCTGTTATAGGCATGTCTGGCTTTATTTTGGACAGCAAGAATATCTAGCCTTACTGTTATTTTTATGTGTAGTTTACCTATTAATTTCCACATTGATTTCTGTGCAAAAATGTGTTTAAAGATTTTGTGTCACATTTCAGTTCAGAAACAACTGTTAAAAATGTACTTTGGATCCACAAAACCTAAGATTACATCTTGACCAAGGTGCCACACATATTATATAAGAAAATAGCTGTACATACAGCCTTCCTTTTCTGCCAAAGTACATATTCACAATTCCCTGTTTCTTTTGATGAATTAATAAGGATATTTTGCTCTGTAGTGTCTAGTCACGTTCATCACAATTATTGGTTTTCTTCCTGTAGTTGTAGTCATGATCAAGTGCACTTTTTAGTTTGTGAACCATGCTGTCCAGAGTAAAAAGGAGAACTGTTCATTAAGTGTGTTCAATTTAAGTGTGAAAGGCAGACAAGAAATGGAATAATCAGCAAGCTAGATTGCTGTCTTCGTGCAGCTGTAGTCTGTCTGCTGCCTTGTACATTTTTTTAGTCACTAATTAGTACCTTTTACTAAAATCAGTTTGTCATCTCAAATAGTTTTTGAAATATTAA